AATCGCACCTTGCTCCTCCTGCCCCTCCATTTATTACTGGAGATAATAACACCCCTTCTCTGAAGGAGTTGGGAGGAGGAATCAGTTGGCTATTTTAAGGTAACCAGGTCCCATTATGCCATATCTGGAGGTAGTTTTCATGCTTTTAAAAAAAAAAAAAAAAAGAAAAAAAAAAGGCAGGGTTGAGGAGGAGAGAGAATCATTAAGACAAGAGTGAAAAATGTAATACTGGGTATAAAGCCCCGTCACTGCCAGTATGGCAAATGAGAGAAGGCAAAGCAAAAATATGTAGTATGATCACAGGTGAAGATGACAGTGAGAAGTTGCTCAAAGATACTGAAATAAAGCCTAGGACATTTTCAGCTAGGTAAAGTAGGGAAGAGAAATGAGTTGACAGTTTTGAAAAAGCAGCAATATGATTGCAGTGGCAGACCAAGGGTGGTGCTAGGGGAATATAAGCACCTAGAGCTCCCCTGCAAAACTAAGAACCAAATGTGAACATTGGTGAAGATAAGGTTACTTACAGCACTGCAATATAACAATATCACAGTTGTGATAAATGATTTTTCCTCAAAAAGGATTCCAATTAGAGTTTACAATTTATTAAAAGAGTAAAGACAAGCAAACAGCGCTGAGTGCACCGGGAGTCTCCGCTCAACCAAGGCACACACGTGCAAGTCCCGTTTTGGGTTTATATCGCTTCTCCTAATACATATTCATACAAAGGTTGGCCTATGCTAATGATAGGCGTGTCTTCTTTGGCGCATGCCCTCCTCACCTTCTGGAATCTTCTATGAGTTTTCCTTGGCTCGCCCCCAGGATGACCCCCGACTCCAGGCGCGCGCCCCACAGACCCCTCCCATTCAGCACCACGCGGCCAGTAACAAAAAAATGGTTTCCTTAGGGGTTCTTACAAGAAACAGAAACTACATACATACAATCCCGCTTCTCCCAAGCCCATGGTCATACAAGGACAAACAGAACAGTTAAAGATATTAACACGAATCAGATGAACACATTTCACACAGTCACCAAACGCACTGGAATAACTTAGTTGGTTACTTTGAATATGCCTCTCTTTAGCTAGCAAACAATCTTGCTTGCCTAGCATTCAGGACCTGACACAGCCAGACAGACAAATAATTTAGCCGAAAATTATGTAACCTATTCATCCAAACTTTCAGTATTATTACATGGTCTGTGTCAATATTTGACTACTGTGCAAAATACTATTCACATTATAACTGTATTTACTTTTCATAGAGAGCACACTGGTGGGGAAAGAGAAATGGAACGGTGATCTGAAGGAGAGGAATTAGCCAATGATCTCACAGAGAGGGGTCTTGAACCACAGAATTATTATTTAAAATAACACTTGACTGCAGCTTCCCACTGCACATATTCTTATCTCTCAGCAAGTGATAGCCAAGCCAACTATAATCAGCTATAAACTTTCTTCTGTGAATAGGCACGGCAAGAGATAAGACTGTACATGATGAACTTTTAACACATATGCCAGTGTTCATCGGCCAAACAGGAAAGTTTATTGTTAACAGAGAACCAATTTAGATTAATTGGCTTGCAAAGCCAGGCCTCCATGTCAAGCCACCATCAAATACAGGAAGAAAACAAAGTGATTGCTCACACAATGTGAACAAAGTTATTAATAACTTTTAACTGGAAATATTTAGCCTGCTATTTAAGTGCCCTACGGTGATATTCACAGCCCCTTAGCAACTGTTCCCTTTTCTGCAAATACACAGCAGCCACCCAAAAGCTAACACTATCATCCTGGTCTACAGGACTGCTTGAAGACCACCTCATCAAAATTAAACACTTCACAGCTTGAAGACCACCTCATCAAAATTAAAGACTTCACAGCTTGAATATGCATTTACGCGGAAAGCATATTCAAATATTCCCATTCTTATAGGCCTTTTTACATATACCAGCAATTGAGAATTTTAAAGAGCTTTACCAAGACCTCTGGTGAGACCAGTGGAAAGGAGCAAGACCACATTGAATAGAAAATATATTTTTTCCTTTTTTTCAGATGATAGTTTTTAATAGTAGTACTAATCTATCAGTATTTTTGAGCAGGAAAATTTGTGCCCAAACTGATCCTGAATTCCAGCTGGTGTAATGCCTCACAAACAAGTCAGCTGGTGGAGCATTCCAACAGTTTTCTATAAACTGGTTTTAACAACTATTTTCTGTTCAGATAACAGAATATATCTGTGTTAGTGCTACCCTATCTAGTACTGCTTTTTTTTATTTTTAATTCACTTAAACTGCCACTGCCTCTGCTTGTATTTGAATACTTATTTCATGCTATTTTGCTTTTTTTTATTTTTAATTCACTTGAACTGCTACTGCCCCGCTTGTATTTGAATACTTATTTCATGCTATTCAAAACAAACACAGCAGAAAAGACTTAGTAAACTTCATTGATGCCTGAAGATGGTATCACGTAGAAATTTAAACTTAAAATAAAAAGACAGCAAGCAAACAGATCTCACCTGTTCAAGAAAGCATTTCCAAAGCGGCTGAGTTTGCGGAACGGCTTCTTAGGATCAACAACCAGGGCATTTCCAGGAACATTTCCTTCTGAATCTCCGTACATCACAGCAATGAAAGAATCTGTGGTAGGCTCTGGACCAATCCGCATGCCTGGAAAGTCTTGTTCGAGCAGGTATCTGGAGATGGAGAATACATAAAGTAACAGCATGAATGTCTGGGAACAATTGCAAAAGCAAATACCTAGAGTGTGCCTGAAAACTCCCAAGGATACACACATTCTAGAATAATTAAGAAACATTTTTCCTGCATGTCATTATTTCTATTAATTAGAAAAAAACCCCATACCTGAATCCCATTTTTTTCATAACAACTAGATAAAAGCATAAATAAAGTAAATCCCTTTACAAAAACAGGGTGGAAAGTATTCCCTCAACAACTCAAGTGAATCCTTCTACCAACGATCCCAGTACTGTAGCTCACACTATGAGACATTGCTGCTTCTGTGTGTGTTTTCAAGCCTAAACAAGTGCTGCTGATACTAACAGGGAGCGTGGTTTGAAACAGCCCATGAGCAGCATCACTTTGCCGACATACCTAACCCTTGGATGAACTCAGTTATGGTGTATGATTTTACTAAGTTTAATTCATCTCACCACAGGCAGAGATAACACTATTATGAGACAATACAGTTTACGGCTGTTTGGGAGTGAGGGAAAGAGCTTTTATTTTGACCCATGTATCAAAAAGTAATTAACGAAGTCAGATCTGCAGAGCTTCAGGCCTAACAGTAATGTTCTTCCAAGAGATATCAAGTCAGGCAGCACTGTACCAACACAAACCATGTTGCATCTCCCTCCGAGTAATCTGCTCAGAGATTTAGACAGCACATACTCAGTGGACCAAGTCCTGACTCTCCAGACAACAAGGTCTCAAACTAAAGATGTGCATATTTAAATGCTAAAACTTCATGGAACTGGAGCATGAATTTACAGAAGCAGCTTGTCTGCATCCTTTCCTGGATAGCAAGTGAGAAACAAAAGAAAACTCAAGACTATCAAGCAAGCCTCCACCTTAGAAAGTTCCTCTAGGCTACACTATGACAACTGCCACTTTTCAAAAAACAGGAGCAGACCAACCTGCTTAACATTAAAGAACATGAGTGCTATTGTCCTCATTTACAACACCACCATCTTGAAAATGTTCCCCTTAAGACTAAGGCCAAATTGTTTTCAAGTATGCTGTAAGAGCATTAAAATTCTCCAATCAACTTCAGCCATACAGTAATTATTAATTCCATGGTTCCAATGTCACCCTGCAGTTCTTAAAAAAGCAGCAGAACCCAACCAAACAAAAAACAATACACAATTTTACTTGTGTATTGTGTACATAATCAAAGTTGGACTTCAGTGAAAATTCTTCAGGCACAGGTGATGGTCCAATGACAGCACTAGCTAGATTTGAGCACACCTATATTAACATCTGTCTTTCAATAATAGGCTTGTTCTAGCCCTTAATCTAAGAGCACTATGCCTGTTCTGCTATCATGCCATAAAGAAATAGTAATTTGAGAGGACTTGCAGGCTGGTTTTGCTGAAAAAAAACACCCCACATTGTACAAAGTGCCTACACTTGCTGAACAATCTCTATTTGTCTTTAAATTCAATACCCAAACATTCACAGACTTTATAGATCAGTGCAGAGAAGACGAATTTAATGAACTAAATATATACTATATGTTTCAAAGATCTTTTTCCATTAACTAGCAAACTGGTTCCAATCAGCTCAACCTACAATCTGGGAGGCTTAAAACATAGAATGGTTATTTACATGAGATGTCCTGCAGCTTTCTGCTTCCAAACAAACAGAAAAACCCCAACTTGTCAATGCTAAAAACGGTGGGAAAGGAGGAACACAAGAACAATCATGCCAGAACATGCCAAAATCAGTCTGTTCTACTTGTAGAATAAACTGTACCTAATGCACAGTAACAGGGAAATAAAACTAATCCTTCTCCAAAAGCAGAAAAACCCAATACCTTTGCACACGCAGGAGAGCACAATGCAATATAACCCTCATTTTTACAAAGCAGATCATGTATCAAAATTAAGACAAAACTCCTTTGATAGCTCAGCAGTTTAACCCTTTGTGCATGGAAATCCAGGACTTTCAGGTACTGTAGCAAACAGGTAAGCACCTGAAACACAGACGTGTGTTCCTGCCTCCTCATAGAATTCCACTGCAGACTAGAGCCCTCTAAAACCGGATGCAACACTAACTCACAAGGGCCACTGCCATTTTTCACTAAAGCCTGGCTGGACTTACCCACAGCATTGATTTTGAAAGATCAATGATACTTTTAATTTCTAAAATAAGATTTTTAAATTGCCACAACGAAATGTTCCACTTCAAAGTCTCTCAATTCTGCTTTTCTTCATTGCCCTTCTTTTTGAAGGGAAAGGATTTCTATAAGACTTGTAACTAACTCCTTCTCTTGATATGAGCTGTCATTCCCAGACTTCTGCAGACAGAGGCAGGAAGCCATAAGGTGGCAACACGTAAGATAAGAGGCTCCCAGAGCAGCAGTAAAGAACATCATACTGAAATCAAATGCGCACAAGAGAAGTCCCAGATCCCAGGTCACAGAAAACTAAAAGATGGGATCTGAATACAGGATAAGCCACCTCCAGGGTAACAGGCTAATTGCTATCCATTATCAGCTCATGAACCTGCCAGGCATGGTTACAGACATTCAGTGTTGGTGGTCTTTTAGGTCACTGAAAAAAAAATAATAATCTCATGGCCTGCTCATGAAATCGCTGCACATATAACACTTGGAGAATTTACAAAGAGTTGGAAGTATGGAGCACCTGTATTTTCAGCTTGGAACTCAAATGGTGCAAATTCAGATTAGCTGCTTACTGAAATGTCTGAACAAGAATAAAGCACTGCTGAACTGCAATGGTACTTCCAAGTTAATGTCACAGATGCAACTTTAAAACCCAGGCTTTTGTAGAGACAACAATCCAGAAAGGCAAGGCATCCTTCCAAATACCAAGTCCCACCCAACAGTCACAGTGCTGAGCCACTTACAGCTATTCATCAGACACAGGAAACACTTTGCAAGGCAGGTATTTTCCATTAAGACCAGCTCATGGTTGCATGTCAAGAATCAAGTAGAGACTAAAATAAACCCTAGTTCTGAGCACTGAGCACTATATCACACTTCCTCTCAGTATGAAAATACCAGTTTCACTTGGCCACAAAAAGGGACGAGCAGTCTTCTGTAAACTGAAAAGTGGCAATTATTTGTGTACAGTGTGCTATATTAATAGAGGAAAATACCTGGATTTTTAGCATCCGCATTTGCATGCCCTTTTCAGGAATTTTCAGCAAAGAGGGAGTTCAAAAAGGTTGACAGGAAGAATGCTTAAAAATAGCAAACATCCCAAAGACAGTCTAGATCAAACAACAGACATCCTGTTGACTCTTCTCCCTTTGTTTTTACCTGGGCTATAACCTTTCTGCTCTGCCAATAAACATTCATCTATGTTCCTTTGCAAGATCTATAGCCAGACTATGGGAAACTGGTTTACAACGTTCCAGAGATAGCAAAGATTACTCACGGTTGCGGATACTGATAATCATCTGAAGTCCAAGTGCTTCAGCTAAGCCATAGGAAGGCACGCACACAGGTGAGCTGGACAGACAGGCACTGGGCAGGGACACCACGTGGTGCACGGGGAGACAAACTCAAGTCTCCTTCCACAAGGCTGTTCACCTCCAAACTACATACTGCACCAAATCCCCCACGCTTATTTTTTTTTTTATTTGAAACACAACAAAACTAGCAAATGGTTGCTTTAGTGTAAGAATTCTGCTCCAAGTAACTCGAGTAAATCCATGTTTATTTTTTTTTATTTGAAACACAACAAAACTAGCAAATGGTTGCTTTAGTGTAAGAATTCTGCTCCAAGTAACTCGAGTAAAACTTTCATTTAGAGCTAGTAACAAAGAAGTTCCAGCTTTCACTCCAAAAAGTTCACAGGGACCTTTATCCCCCAGAAGAAACAGATGCAGCCTGTAATTGCCATATACACAATTGCATACGACTTTCAGGCTCCAGATATTACACACGCAAAAGGGTGCTTTCACAAAACCCAGCTCTGGCTGTGTTAAATAGAAGGAAGTTTACCATTTTAACCTCTGAGTAATACCTGTGAGCAAAGCAAAAAGCACAGCCTGGCAAGCTGAGGAACTTCTGTTTTTCCTCATCTTGATAAGTTCTTTAAAAAAAGTCAGTCTCTTACACTTTTAAAACAGAGAAGTTGCTAACAAGTTAAACATTATTCGACAATTTAATTCATTGTTGGAAGGAAAGAAAAAGGTCAGCATCTACAAACTCGCCCTAACCAGCTCCTGTCTCTTACTTATACACTGCAGTTCTCCTGTCCCTTCTTTCTTCACTTCTTTCTCTAAAGCAGCCAGGAGAAATTGGGAAAATTACAGAAGCTGAAAGGCCAGGCAGCTCACATGCAAGATAAGTATTTGGCTCTCACCCATCCTCCCACCCCATTAAAAAAAAAAAATAAAAAAATAAAAAAATCACCCATTAAAAAAAATAATAATAAAAAAAAAATCATACAAGTATTAACATTTAGGCCTGGATATATTTGTTTGAATTGTCAGCATTGAATAAAAGAATAACACCGGGCTACACCTTAGAGAGCGAAACTGGCCAGTTTCACTGCATTGTTCCAAGTGCAAAGAGGATAAACAGCATCAAGTGAAAAACCAGAAGAGCTATTAGAAACCTGGAAGTGTTTGTTTGCATATCTTAATCCCCAGGGACATTCAGTCATTGCTAGATCTGTGTTTTCCACCGAGACAAGTATTAACATTTAGGCCTGGATATATTTGTTTGAATTGTCAGCATTGAATAAAAGAATAACACCGGGCTACACCTTAGAGAGCGAAACTGGCCAGTTTCACTGCATTGTTCCAAGTGCAAAGAGGATAAACAGCATCAAGTGAAAAACCAGAAGAGCTATTAGAAACCTGGAAGTGTTTGTTTGCATATCTTAATCCCCAGGGACATTCAGTCATTGCTAGATCTGTGTTTTCCACCGAGTCTTAATGGAAGGAACTGGGTGGATGTGGATGTGTCAGAGGTATAAAAATGTGAAGTTCTCACGATAGTGTCTAAATCAAAGTAAATCCCAAATGAATACTTGTCAGCTAAATGCAATTGTTCTGTTCACATATAAACCTCATAGTAAACACTTAGGTAGATCTAGTATGCCCTCCTGACTATGAAATGGAGAAATGTGGAACAAAAAGCAGTTTTAATTAAGATTTAAAATGCTGTTTGCTTGTCAAAGGGCTAACTGGGGAAAAAAAAAATTATAGCCCAACTTCATTCTAAGAAAAACTATCTATAATAAACCTGGAATTATAACAGTCTTGAGAGTGTATGACATTTTTTCCATGGGAAATTCAGCATACCAGAGGGGAAATTTATGTGTAGTCAACCTGGACACTATAACATTTTCCCATGTCTTCTTCTAAGTCTTGCCCTCCGCACACAAGCACTTCTCTTTTTTGCTTTTCTTTTCTCCTCTAAGTTGGTAACAGTCACTGTGACACTATTGTCTAAGTTGCTGCCCAACTTGAATGGAGCATTTTCTCATGCTGATTCAGCCAATTATTATCTATTCTATAGCAAACACTGATGTAATGAATGTTCATCATGGTGAGGTCAGACAGTGGTCCTTCAGAAGCAGGAACAGCTGTTCTATTACTGATTGGGGCTCAACAGCCAATTCCTGTCTTCTCCAATACCTAGTAAGGGATTAAACCACTCTGCAACCCACCTAAAATGGGGACAGGACAAAGGTGTAAGTGAAGGAAGAAAAGGCACATCACAATAGAAGTCACCTCCTGCATTGAGTCAGATATTTTAATAAAATGCAGGAGTAAACATCTTTGAAAATGTTATCTATATTAAATCTGCCTGGGCATCTTTGCCCAGCAGTGACCAGTGCTAAAAAAAAAAAAAAGAAGTTAGAAATAGCTGTAATAAAGAGTGATACTTCTTTTCTCATTCAGACTGTACATTAGTATCAGTCAACCAACCAGCTCAGTAGTTTATGGTTAAGGTGGTAACAAGTTAGTCACAAAGCAACACTACCAAGAATACATCTCCAGCACTGCAAGGAATATCAGTGTTTCTAAGCACAACACTGACTCGCACTGCAATCAAACATGGGCAATTGTGAAGGACAGAAAAGTTGAATGCCCATAAATCAAGAATGTGCCTTCTCATGCCAGGCAATCTCTTTGAGGAGGGGGGAAAAAAGCTTCCTATGAATTATAAGTGACACAGCAACTCTGCTGACAGGCAGAACAAGTTCTGCTACGTACATATTTGGGACCGTTCTGTCTCCGTGTAACGCCCATGCTCTCTGTCCCCTGTCCATAAGCCAGGTAACACCACTTGTCTGGAAACACACACAGCCTAACAAAGCAGCTGCACTTCTTAAAGAATAAAATGAATCAGCAGGGCCAAGGAAGCGTGAGGAAAACCCAAATCAGCCACTGCAAGTGCTTGTAGGAATTCAGTAATAATCAGGTAAAGAACCAAGATCAACTTTAAGCTTCTAATTAGCTAGTTGTAAAACCAGAAAAGAAACATGACTAGGTATGTAAACATCTGAAAAGCTCTCAGGTGAGTTAAAGGTAAACACCGCTCTTCAATGGAGAAGGGAGGTAGATCTTTGACACTGTAAAAAGAAAACAGTTATGGCAAGGCTGCCTGTAACCTTTGGAACCGAAAGAGAAACACTTGCAAAATTTTCTGAAGGACTGTAATGAACTGCAGATATAACAAGCAGTAAAAATTTGATCTAAGTGACCCCTCAGTGTCTTTTGCAGAGTTTTAGATGATCTCAGACTGATTTGTAAGGGGCATATGAGAGGCAAACACACTCAAACATATGCAAAATATTCACAGGCTCGTAATACCCGAGGCACGCTTCAGCTTCCTAAAATCAGTTGCTAATAAACTTAACAACAAGGAAGACAGGAAAGAGAAAATACTCCAACGGCAGGAACATTCTTAAGCGGCCGTATTAGTGATATTGCTTGTTCAATGCAATCAACCGAAAGAGTTGGGGAAAGAGGGGAACAAAAAAAATAAAAAAGGACTTTCCAGATACCCTGTGTTTTTTAGGGCCAAAAATGTCCCGCTTTTCTCTCTTATCTTCACATCCAAACTACTTATTAAACACTTTTGGGATAGAAGAGGGAGGAGACATGGTTCAATGGCCTGTGATGGCCGATGCTGTCACGCCTTTTCAACGCCAAAGCGCCTATTTTTCTTTTGAAAATAATTTAAACATTAAAAAAAATAAAAAAATAAAACCCCAAGAGGAAGTCGACGGCGAGGTTACACTTTCTCGTCAGAAACACGAAATGGAGATGACAGCCTTAAACGGGAAGTTGGCGGGAGAGTGGCGGGGCACGTAACGGCCCCGGGAGCGGCGCCCACCCGCGACACGGCGTGGGAGGCTCTGGGGAAAAGCCCCGCTCCTCGCGGGGGTGGGGTGGGGACACACACCGGCCGCCAGCAGCCAGACACCGGCCCCACTAGCCCCGCCGCGGAGCTGGTAGCCACCCTTCAGCGGGACCGACGTTCCGCGGCCCGGGGCGACCAGGCGCGGTGGCCACCGCGGGGTTAGAGCGTAGGAGGCAGCTCCGGTAGAGCGGGAACACCCCGGGAGGGAGGTGAGGGGGGATTTACCGAGCGGGCAGGGCGCCGGTCGGCGGTCCCGCAGCACCGGGAAAAGGGGGGGAGCAGGGAGGGGGGGCGCTTACCGGATAAAGGTGGTCTTGCCGGTGCTGTACTGCCCGACCAGCAGCACCATGGGCTTGTTCTCGAAGTCGGCCTCCTCCAGGGCGGGCGAGTGGAAGTCATGGAAGCGGTAGTGTTCCTCCAGCGGCAGCAGCTTGCGGAGGTAGAGGTCCCGCAACCCCCCGGTGACCGTCTGCACCACGTCGCTGCCCACGCCGCCCCGCTCCCGCCCGCCGCCCTGCTTCCCCAGCCAGCTGAACATCCCGCCGCCGCCACCACCGCACAGCGCTCTGCCGCCGCTCCGCACACGCAGCCGCCGGCGGGGGGGGGGGGCGGGGGGCGGGGGGGGGGGGGGGAAAGGCGGCGCCCGGCGCTTCCCGGACACCCTGAGGGCGCGCTGCTGCCCGCCCCCCTCACAGCCGCCCGCCCACCTGAGCCGCCCGAGCGCCCAACGGAGCCCTCAGCGGCCGCACCGC